AGTACTTTTCTTTTTTTGCTTTATTCTTGGATCGGGCTTTAAAGAGTTAAAAAAAAAAAAAACACCAAAAATTAATTAAATAGATTTTTCATACAAATGTAAAGGGATAATCTTAAGGGATAAACAGGTATTGACTATGGGTATGATCATCTGACAGAACAAAGTCTCATGAGGTGAGATTTTTCTGAAAGTAACCAATCACAGGCAGTTTAGTGTCTCAGGTTGGTTCCTCCCTCAAAGTCCACAGGAGAGGAGAGGAGAAACTACAGGTGGCTAAGAAACAAGCACAGAGGAGTATGGACTCATTCTAGCAAAAAAATATTCAAAATCCACATAGTCAGTAGTCTACCCGCGTGTGTTTTAAATTAGAGTATTTTTTATGCAAGTGCACTTTTGGCTAAATTCTGACTCCATAAGAACCGAGGGAGTCTTTTGGTTGACAGGTGAAATGTCCTCAATAAACCAGCAAAGTAGATAAGCTTATTTCTGCTCAAGCACCTTAGATTTTCTTGAGGAAACCTGTAGAAGATGGCGCTATGGTCAGATGATGGTGCAACATAAAACACATGTTATGACCTTCAAAACACCATCCCTTTGGTGTGATGCGGTGATGGCAGCATAATGCTGAGGGGTTTTTGTTTTCCTGCAGCGAGAACAGGAGGTGGTTTAAGCAGAGAGTGAGTTGAATGAGGCTAGCTGACCTAAAGAGGCTTCTAAAGATAAACCCAGGTTTAGCTTGAATACAGGCTGAGGCTTACACCACACTTTTGAGATTTTGGGTGTTTAAAAGGCATATTGGATATCCTTTTTCTTGCATTTCACAAACAGCCTGTTGGTCTGTAACATAAAATCCCTGAAATGCATCAATGTTTGTGGTTGTAACCTTAGTGGCTGTGAATAGTTTTTTAAGGCATGTTTACAGTGTAAACAAACTCTCCACAAAAGGGCAAAACATTTGGAAGAATAACTGCATGGTGTGCAAAATAAAATGACTCATCCGTCATACTTCCACTCCCACCCATCCCTCCTCCCTTCATCCCCCGACTCGTCCCCACACAGGCTCGCTCTGCTCTGGCCTCTTCAGTGCCTCAGCGCTTGGGGTGTCCTCTAGCGCCCCCAACTTGCGGGATTACGTCCGCACCCACCACCATCACCACCACCGAAAACCACCTCTGTCCCCCGGCAGTCTGCCGTGCAAGATTGGCATGTTTGGTATGTTCACAGCGCTCTCTGTTCTCTTCCACGGGACAGGTGTTCATCCCCACCCGTCTTCAAAAATCTTTTTTTTTTTTTTTTTGCTTACGCTGTTCTCTTGGACCTATTGGCAATTCTTTCATTTTCTCAAACCCAAAACCTCTTCTCCATTCTTTCCCAGAACATCCATTTTAAAATATTTAATCTCCTTATTAAAGTAACTTGTGTCCAGAATGGTGGCACTGGTGTAACAGCAGAGTGATCAGCTGTGTGGTAAATGTTGAAGCTTTACCTTAATCATTATGATCACGCCTCTGTCTGCTTGCCATCCAAATGTTTCTCTATGTGTGCATGCTGCCTTCCTTTTGGTGGAATTTGATAATCCCTACTGAAAGCTCAAACTCTGGGTGGTGTTTTCATTATTTGCTGCTTTGCTGCACATTTCATAGTAATCCATACTAGAAGAGACGATAATTTAACTGAGAAATAATCCAGCATGATTTTTTCCCTCTTCCCCTATACTGCCACTGGTAAAGGCTCTGACTCACCAAGATTTATTAATCACCTAATTTTAACCCCTCACAGGTTAACTATTATATGGTAAGTTTTATATACAGTATGTATATATAGATATGACATAAGGTTTTATAAAAGACCCAACGACCTTGGGTTGGTTTGTAAACACAGAGGAGGGCTCTGCAGCAGAGCAGGCTTCTTGTCCAAATGCAGGGAACTAAACACAACAAAACTGAACTGCTCATTATGTCCACTAGGTGTCGCTCTTTTAGCAAAACTTCTCAGCACTGCCAGTCAGAATAAGATGCTGTTGGCTGAGAGACGGGTGAGTATATGGACCGACTCAGTGCTGGTTATATGAAACAAAGAAGATGGAATGGTCTGAAAGACGTCGCCCCTTAAGGAGACGGGAGGATTTCATGCTTTTTTTTAAAGGAGCTGCAGCAGTCTGCACAAACCTTATGTGTGACAGTGAGGCCTGTCTAACATAATCTCTTTCTTTTGTTGTCAAAATATTGCTTGTTTGCTGTTAAGTCTCCCATCTTTAATCCATACTAGGGATGCAATGAAATAAAAATTCATGGCTGAAACCAAGTCCGAAAAGTTAATAAAGGTTGAAAACAAAAATAAGTTATTTTGTCAAATATTAAAATAATCCCATTTTTTATGGCTGCAATGTGAACTGACCCTATTCAAAAACTATGTTTTTGAAACTCACACTATGCAATCATAAAAGTATAAAAAATATTTATTTACCTCTGACATTGAAAAAACTGAATGAAATGTAGAAATTGTCTCCAGTGAAATGATAATTAGTGATATTCACTAATATTGCATAGTTAAATATAAGTAGACTGACTTTATAAAGCGCTGTTCTAGTCACAGCAACCATTCAACCATGCATATTAAAGTAATAGGACTCAGACACCCTGGTAAATAACATCAGAGGAAACTTCTCATTTTGTATTGACTTTGATAGCTAAAGTTAGCTGATGCTAATTAGCCATTAGCCTCCCACTTCTCTAGTAACAGATTTAGCTCATGGTGATTTGATCTCCTTCTGCTACTGGTAAAGGAACTAGTGCTGACAATAACCCCACAGAACACCTCTTAAGAGAATGTAAACCAACCATTCTCTGAAACCAACAAACTAAACCCACACTATTGTTTGAGGTCAAATTCAGCGGCTGCACGCTCTGAAGGCCAGATTCATCAGCCGATTACGTTGTAGCGTGGTAGGCCGTGCAGACCGCAGTCAGTTTTTCCCCCGTTTTGAAGGACAGGTCCGCTGTATCCTACGTAGCATTGGGTATCCCATGATTCATTGCGAGTCCAAGTAAGCCGGCTGCTCCGTGCTGAGAAGAAAAAGGGAAATGGCGCTGAACAGTGGTGAATGTTGTAAATGCAATTTAATGTAATAGAATTATGTGAATAGTTCTTTTAAAAATGAATGAAAATAGTTCTTTTAAATCGTTATTGAGTCCGATACTGTATGTGACGGGTAATATTTGGTCTTTTGAAATGTGTCATTTGTCCCGGTGCAAACGGGTTTGAGTGACATTTAAGCTCAGATTCTAATATATCTGCAGTATGGGGACTATAAATCTGATATCTGCGATGATGGTACTGCCACAAAGTTTGATGACTGTGTTAGCTCATCCAAAGGAAAGACATCAGAATCTATTAAAAGATCATGTTTATTCATCTCTTCATCCTTTCAGTGGTTAGCCACATTTTACTCAGTGGTTGGAAATGTGTGTAAGTTGAAAACTGTGTTCCTCTCCCCCTCTCTTTTCAATTTTGATTTCTTTAAAATCCACAAAAGCAGACAGGCAGATACCCAGAGCTCCAGTAATCCCAGTTACCTTTCTTATCTCCTCAGAACTGCTCTCTATGCCGGCAGTAAAGAGATTTTCTGTGTCGTTTGCCAGGCATCCGACCAATGGTATGTCCGCTTTTATTCAAGTATACTTTTCGAAAATCCTCTAGTTCATCTTGCATGACCCTTTTGTGGGGAAGAAAACACCTTTTTGGGATGTGGAGATTTGACTGCGTTAATGACATCAAATGAAAGAATTTCCATCCGAGTTTCTCTTTCACCGCACAGCCTCGGTGTTTGATGAGTCTTGTGTTGTTTTCAGCCTGCATCGCTAACACCACCTGCTCTGCCTGTGAAAGGTTAATTTACCTCCCTGATTCTGCCGTTTCCTCACCATTTTTTTTTTCTGGAATATATCTCCTTCCTTGGATATATTTCCATATGTAGATAATCAGTGTGCACATCATAACTTGTACTGACTTAAACTTTGATGTTTAAATTTGGTTTGTACCATTGAAAAGCTGGTGTTTCATATTCATCTATGTGTATAAAACATTCGTGTTGTATAGAAGTAGATGAGATTTTTGGGAAAATCATGCAAGCATGCTTTTCATTTGAGTTCTGAATAGGGCATGTCTATTGGGATCAAGCATGTGTATTCTGCTGGAACAGGACATGATTGCTTACTTTTACCCCGATATATCTGCCTTGTGTTTTTTATTTTATTATTTTTTATTTGACAGATTTTAAGATTAATGGACATATTTTAAACATTAGATTTTAATACTACTGGACAGTCAATTATCATTCACATTAATCAGAATTCTGCTTTTCTACCATTCTACATGTAGAGGTGAGTAAAGCTTTAGCATACTGTAGCTGTATACTGTACCTTTGATTTTAATCACTTTAAATCGCAGATTATTCGGGAATCCTATTTTCACGCCACTCCCTCCCCAGCAGGCTTGTTTGACTCACTCGGTTTTATTCTGCCATTATCTAAAAGGCTTTGGCTTTTCTCTTGAAGAAGTTTAATTAAAATAAAAGCTCATTTAATTAGTTGTTGGAAAATGATGTACCCTAACTGCTGATTGACTGGGCCCTTTCTCTGGTGAATTATCCTGCCACTTGTTACACTGGTTTCAGTTTAGTAACATGTACTTCCCATTCTCTTCTCATTTAAGGTGTTGTGTGCCTTTTGCAGCATTGGTGTTAGTGGGTATTTATTGTGTTAAAAATGGATCTGAATGGTTTAAAGGTATTGGTTTTTTGACTTGAATTTACCCTGGATTCTTGGATTCGAATGAGTCATAAACACATGGACAAATTGTGAGTACCCCTCCTTTAATAGAAAAAAAAAAACCCACAGCTAGACTTGCACCGGTCAATCGCCCCAGCTCGGTAATTGTCCAATTTCCATGTGATCAACCACCACTGGTAACCGGCCACCGATTTTAAGAGTAGGTTGTTGTGTTGTTAATGAATTTTTTTCTACACGCATCTTTGTCCTACGCTTTTTCCATGTTTGTTTTTGTCAGAGGGCCCAAAACAGGGGGATGAATCATCCCAAAAAAGAAGGGAGGAGAGGCAGCATTCTGAGCTCAGACAGAAACAGTTGGGAATCGGTGTGAGAACACTGGGAGAGAGTGCACCATAACTGAGATGAGGGGTCCAGGGGGGGTAGGACAGCAGTACTTTTGAGAAGCCCACCAGGGAGAATTAGCCAGGAGAGGCTATGGCTAAACAATGCTTCCTATAGAGGATAATTGCTGGGGGTGGAAGAATGACAGGGGAAGACAGTGTGGCAGAGCTGGGAGAGAAGGCAACTGCTTGTTGGTGTGGAGGTAGGACCACAAAACAGTCCCTCTAGGGCTAAATTTAAATGGCTTTTTTTTAAAGCCACCTAAAAACCTCTTTTGCATTCCCGCTTCATCCTTTAACAATATTTCCTCTTTTTTCCGTTTTGATTGAATTTTGTCTCAAATCATGATACTTTTTCATCTCCTATAATTTGGATATCTTATAATACAATGTTAATGAACACGAGACAGCAGTTGAAGAATTCATAGATTTGATGCTGTGATCATTGATAGGCTCCAAAAATCCTGACCAATGCATGTCTAACCACAATAGACATTAAATAACTTAATTCGGACAACAAAATAAAAAATTAATTTAGAATAAAACAACAAATGAAACTCCAACATTGCTTTTCCACCAGGCTTCAACAGAATTTTTTAGAAAATAAACTAATGAAATCGGCCTGGGCTAAAATAATGGTTCCCTTAACCTAATATTTTATTGCACAACCTCTTGAAGCAGCAACCAATCAATTCCTCTAACTGTCAATCAGACCTCTGCTCTTCTCAGCAGGTATTCTGGTTCACTCATCATTAGCAAACTGCCCCATTAGTCTTAGGTTTAGAGGCTAAGTTTTCCTGTTTCAGATTCTTTCAAAGAAGCTCAATAGTCACATCATCATACAGCCCCATGGATCTTAAATTTCTGAATATGTGCAGCTGTAGTCACACTAACATCATGCTGCTTGGAAATGGTCTGATAGTCTTAACCTTCAACAAGCTGGTCTATAATTGTTTTTACAATCTCCTGAGACAACTCTTTCCTTCACTTCTTCTGGTCCATGTTGAGTGTGGTACACGCCATGTCACCAAACAGCTCAGTGACTACCTGTAGCCCTTTATATAGGCCCCCAGACTGATTTCAAGATTACATAAACTTGTGATGTTAGTAAGTCGACACACTTTAATATAAAATGTCTCATTGGTCACATTATTTTTAGACTATTCTAGGGAGACCATGATATTTGTCCAGGGCTGTTTAATGAGTTAATTATTTCAATCATTCTATTGAAGCTTGGTTAAAAAGTAAAGTCTGACTTTCATTTGTCCATTTTTGTACAATTTTATTCATTATCGTTATCAAATTTCAGTCATTTTGGTGAGTTTGGGGGAGTTATCTTTTATTATACGCTTTGACCCTCAGAAAACAATGAGGGACAGTACAGTAAAGGACAGTTTATCACTATTCCCTCTTTATGTGAAAGTCAAAACAAATCTCTGCAGCTCCTCCAGTGTTACTACAGGCCTCATTGCTGTTTCTCTGTTTTTTAGTCTCATCAGTCAGTTTGCTAAGTATTCGTATGTTGTCAGTTATGTTATAAACTTTCGATGAACCCCTCCGGATTTCAGTGAAAGATATTATAGGTAAATACCTTAGTAAATGTGTCACCACTTTAAAAAATGTTTTTATTTAAGCAGCTTTTAAAAAGCTAATATTTAACATAAACTTAAAAGTTAAACATTACCTTTCTGTTAGTCCATCACAATAAATCCCAATGAAATACATTAAATATGAGAAGCTATAATAAAGCTGTAATTTCAAGGAGTTTTAATTCCTCTCCAGGTCATTTTCATTTGACTTCTAGTTCAGCACATAAAGTCCTTACATAACATGGAACTATCGTCTCCATACGCTTTGATTTGTGTTCTGCTTCCAGAACCTTATATTCTATATGTGTTGATTTCAGAATTAATTTATAAATAATTTAGTAAAGTAGTGCCTGTTGGACAATGTCAAACTATCATTCCTTTTTTTATATATATATATTTTATTGTGTATTTCACAAATTTTACAGAGTAACGAGGTAATGCAAAGCCAATACTTTATGATTGTCACAACAGGTTCTCCTTTACTGCCCCTCTGCATTTAACCCATCCCCTTGGGGAGCAGTGGGCTGCCATTGTGGGGCACCCAAGGAGCAGTGTGGGGTTAAGGGTCTTAGCTCAAAAACCCAGAGTGGCAGTCTGTGGTAGCGGCGCTCAAACTCACAACCTCAGGTTTCCAGGTTCTGTGCCCTAACCACTAGGTTGCTACTAATAAGATATTAGTTTTGAACTTTAAAAAATTATTAAAACAAACAGAATATAAAATAATTTAAGTAAAATTGTAACGGGGATGTGGTAAAACTCTTAGCAACATTCCTTATATTGTAAATGTCCTTTCCTCATTCTTGTGCCTTCTACATTAAATAAACATTCAGCCTTCACAACAAGCCCCTAAACAAAATCAGTTTTATTTTGCTTTATATACTCAAACCATTCTTTCCAAATATTGTTGAATTTATCAATTTCCTGTCTAATAGATGCAGTTTATTATATCTTTTCCATGTCTTAAATGGCTAGCATTACATCAATCCATCCATCCACTTTTGGCACCAAATCATTTTGACATCTTCTGGTTATTCCTTTCTTACTAGCCAACAACATAATTTAAAGTTATTCATAATTGTCTCTTCTTATTAAATTGAGAGTCTCAATTCTCCCGAGATACATAATTTCAAAACTGGTTGGTATTTTAGTTTCTATCAATTATCATTTTGAATTCTGCCCAGTACTGGGTTATACGGGAGCATTCAGGAAACGTGGAAGTGATTCACTTTCGTTTACCCACAAGATTTCCAACTTTTATTATCTCCATGCTTTCTCTGTACAGGGCTCGCTAAATACCTTAGTGTAATCTTCCATCAATATTCCCTCCAACATGTGGAATCTGGGATTTTTCACTGATATTTATCTATTGCCTCCCAATCCTCCCCTGTCATCACCATGTTCACCTCCCTCTCCCATTTTTCTTTTGCATATACTGTGTTGTCCGTTTTCAAGTTCTGCAAAATCCTGTACATTAGAGACAGCTTTCCGTTCTATCTGTGACCTATATGCTTTCATCATAATTTTATCACCCCCGGTCATGTTGACTTTTTCTCCTTAATTATTATAATATGACATTTTCTCTTTTTTTCTTCATTGACCAATGGCTTTTTTCCCCTTAATTTTAGTAGTTGTAACTATCTAATACTTCCCCAGAAAGTTGGTTCCTAGTCTGTGTATACCGGATCTTAAAAGGTTTACATGTGACTTGGTTTTATGGAATAATGAAGACCACAATGTTTAGATTTACTAACTGATTTCTATATTCACAACACACACACACACACATTATATATATGTAAATATTAAAATGTGACATTAAAACAAAACAGAATCCTTATGTACTGCAGTCTACATCAACATTCCCTTAATTCTGCGTTTGTGCAAGTCAACATATTAAAGACATGTTATAGAACAAACTGAAAGACTGCAGCTAAATGGTTTTTCATGTTTATCTTGGTTTCTTTATAACATTTCAGTGCTTTCAGTTGTTTGTGTTCCAGCTCCTATCACTCCTCCTCTTCCTCCTCCAGCTCCACTGTGCTGTCATCTTCCTCCTCTCTGTCCTCTGCCTCTCGTCCCTCAGATGAACTCGCTGAGTTGGCGCTACAAGGGTTTGACCCTGTTGCCCTGGATAGGTCCTTCTCCTATCACCTGCACCACTGCCCCCACCACCTCCGCCTCCTCAGGACCCAACTGTTGTGTGGTCAGGAGCTCTCAGAGTGCCTCCACGGTCAGCCCCTGTAGCCTCTGCGCACGTTTTCCACGTCTTGTGCCTTTGAACTGGTACAGGAGCAGGATATTTGCTGTCCATGCACTCCAAGCTTTGCATCAGCTGTAGTTTCCTACTTTCATTTTCATGGCTTGGTTTCCTGTCTTTTTTTTTTTTTTTTTGTTATCATTCTGTATCGTCTGTCTGATTTTTTTTTTTCCAGACAGACGATGCAGCTGCAGCTCTGCACGATACTCCATTACATGTTAGAAGTGTTAACATGCTTGCATGTCGGCCAGGGAGTGCAGCTATCTAGCTAGCAAACAGACGGTACAATTCACACCACCAAAACAAATACATATAAAGGATAAAGATCAATGGTAATTACAAACTTCCAATAGTAGTCAAGGGCACTTATTTTTATTTAAAACAAAAAGGGCATTTATTAATCCCAAACAACAGCAGATGTGAGACAGTATTAATTTTATAGTATGCAATAATCATCTGCTAATCAAATAACAAGATATGCTGATCATAGCATCCCAACAGTAGTTCTAAATTGTGGTGTGGTTTGGAAAAGAAGCACCGACAAACAGCTGAATTATGGGGTTTTGTTCAGTTTTAGTTAAATTAGACAGACCTGAATGTCTGTACTCTAATAAACAATCAGCGGACAGTATTGACAATCTCCACATATGTTATCTTGGAGGTATGAATTGAAATTTGATGGTTGTCATAGATAAACCATCGCAAGAAAGACAGGAATAAAATTTTTAAAAAAGAGCTTCAGTCGAATAAATTTTCCTTCAGCTAAACTCAAACATACAAATTTAAATGCTATCCACAAAGAAGGGTCTTCACCTTTTCCACTAAGTGTTTTTTCTCTACATGTGGGTAATGATGGAGAAGGAAATAAATGTCATTTCATTGTCTTTAAGCTCTTTAATCTTGTTCTTTATTGGGCCTCTGCTGCTGTTTTAATCTCTAAAGTAAATTTTACTGCCTAACATAAGAGATGAATTGGATCCATAAACGGAGGACTAATACTACCTTCATGCACCCGCTGTTTGAGAATCCACCCCTTCCTTGACTTACTTCCAGCTTCTTTAGTTTCAGGCTTGTTTGTATGTTGGCACTGAGATCTTTCAGCATAACGGTACCAGTTAGGCCTGTAAGACTGAGGCCACCACCCTCAGTTCCACCTGGATTTGCTGGCCAGCTGGCAGGGTGGAAAACATGGGGATCTTTTCTTTCATGGGCTCCCTTTGCTGCTTCAGTGAACCTGTTCTACATCACTCACTTTCTTTGCAGAGGAAATAGTTTCTGCTGAGCTCCAGAGCTACATTTAGACAGTGCATGCACGATGAAACCAGAATTCTACCAACAGTTAACATGTATAATAAATACACAAATGAGCAGTTTTATTTAAAGCTCACCCATAGACTACTCTACTCATATAAATGCTTTATGGCTGCACATCTAATATAGGGCTGCAACTAAGCATTATTTTTCCAATCGATTAATTTGTTGATTCTTTTTTCTTTGATTAATCAATTAATTATGGGATAGATAATGAAGATTTTTAAACCAGGTGAAATTAAAACTTTTCCTCTTGAGGAGTTCTGGATAGAGAATATTAACAGAAGAAAAGTTTTTTAAAAACTTAATACAAAATGTTTATTTTAGTATTTTGATATAATTACTGCTCCAACTGGTTTGCTCTGTCAGTTAAAGGCATGTTTTACAGTCTCCATACTCAAGTTAAGCATTAATGGATTATTAAATTAGTTGAAGAATATTTCAGTAATCTAATAGTCCGATTAATTGTTTCAGCCCTAACCCCTGCTACCCCCCCCCCCAGTTATATTTTCCAATATATTGGGGTTTTGATCAAGGATTGGATTACATCTAGGTGAGCTCGCCCAGATAAGCCTTAAAAATAAAAAAAAAAGTCTAAATTTGAAATTACATTTTTTTTTTTTTACTTACAACATTTTATCTGTGTAATTTATGGAAATAATTAGATATACAATGAGTGAATCAGGATGGATTAACTTCATTATTTTGGGGGCTGATTTGTTTTTTACCAGGTAGATTAAGGCAGAGCTAATGCCACTTCATTCTGGTGATATGAATAAACATTTGAAATATTTTTTTTTCTTTTTAATTGCTCTTAGTTGTACATAAAAACCTGTTGGGGAAAGCTTTTGATTTGATTAGTTTCACTTTGCTGAATAAAAGGTATTCGAACCCTTTTCCTGTCGCTGTAAAGGTTGGTGCCAAGCATTGAAGGTGTGAAGGGATTGCGCGGGCATCCGGACGTCGTGTTGCAGCTCTGTCAGACTTATTGGCATTTTGCTCTAGTTTGTGCTGATTGAAAGATGGCTGTAAACAGACGGTTCCTGCTGTCTGGTACTAAATCACATCCAGAGTTCAGTGTTCAATACAGCACTAATGTAATCTACTCCAAGTATGGCTTTATTTTTTCTGTAACTCAGTCAAACAGGAGAGGTACATGACTGAAACTAAAAATATTTTACTCTGCGTGATTACTTTTTGTGCACTCTTCTTTTAGATCTTGAATGAATCAAATTTTTTCAAAGTCTTGTCTATTTATTTTCCTTTTTGGCAAACTAGAAAGGTTTGCTGTTTGGAAACCAGAGCACAGGTTCAAGGCTTTGACACTGACAGTGGACTGCCTTCATAGCCGGCCTTTTCTGAATATTTTGGGACCTTTAACATTACTTCAGTTACCACTATGTACTATAATTGTTTGTTTTTTACACTTTCCTACATACATAAACAGAAATCCGCCCTTAATGGTGTTGTTTACCTTTTAACCAATGAGAGAGTGGCTCTAATTAACCGCCACCAATCGTTAACCTGTAACCGTGTGTGTTTAACAAACCTAAAAGGCTGCCTTTTCTTGCCGTAGTTCTTTTAACTCTTCTGTTGTGGTTTTGCATGGAACCAGCTTCCACCATGAAGGCCGTTGTCCCCACCAACAGCCAGTGAACCGGTACAGTGAAAGTTTTCTTTTTTCTCTCTTGTCTGACCTGCAGGATTTGAAGGCTGCTCAATGGTGCCCTCTATCTACCCACTGGAGACTCTGCACAACTCTCTCTCCCTGAAGCAGGTGGAGGAGTTTCTCAGCAAGGTGTGTGAGAGCAGCGCAGAGGCCCAGGCCAAAACAATGAAAGGTAGGTGTGCACAATGGAGGTATTAAGGTGAGAACAGTTTAGCTAGGCGAGCTGGTCTCTGGATCAATTTGATGACTGACCTTGAATTGATGGGTCTATATCTTGCTGTCTGTTAAACTCAGAATCTGATGCTTTTCAG